GTTCGAATCCCACATGGAACAAAAATTTGTATTACCTACAAATAATTGTTCCAGGTCTGGATGTTTGTCCTTGTGAAATTAATGTATTTAAACTGCCACAACGATGTACTTAGGAAAAATTCCTAGTGTGGAGATAACGTTATGATTAAACAAAGACATGCCATCAAAAACATAACTTGTAAAATAACCAAGTCTCGCAATGATGATACGGCCGTGCCGCTGTTTTGGTCGACATGGCGGGGGCACTACCGTGCCCCCAGAATAAAACATATGAGCCGTGCTTGAGTTGAGTACCTCAAGGGCGTAGTGCTCGCCGTAAACGCGAACAATCCGGGCTCGATCCCCGCTAGTGTTGCCAGGTGTCCCGATTTGCGCGGGACGTCCCGATTTTCAAGGGTCTAGTGACACGTCCCGATTCACCCTTGATCGGGACGCCAAATGTCCCGATTTTCACTAACCTTGTTATTCTATACTTAATCCATAATTTTGACAGCAAAAATGATTATATCTCTTAGCTACTACCACATTAAAATATTTTTACTATGACATTGTCTCACCAGTCGAAAAAAACCACAAAAATTTTAAACAGAATATTAAAATGAGTGATTTGAAAAATTCAGGGACTGCAAAAAAATAACAAATAGTTCAAAAATGTTTTAATTTGCCTAAAATGAAAAAAAAAAAACAGTTTTTACGATGTTTGGATGAAAACTTATTCGTTTATGAGATCAGTCCCGGATAATAATTATAAAGCATAAAAATAAAGTAAAGTTACAGTCACAATTTCTCGCATTACTCACATACTGTGATATTTACAGTTAGCGAGCTACCACTGCTCTCAATAAAGCACAAAAGGCTACAAAGAAACCTATATTTTGTAGTCATTCTAGTTGTCCGGATATGAAAACCAAATCCCTCGATTATTTTTGCCTTCCGTCCCGAAATTTTACTTGCTAGACCCATAGACAAACACTATATACCAGGAATAGATGCGCCACTCACATTTCAGTTTTCGATTGAGTGTACCGTGTTCGCTAGAAGGCGCTGTATTCTTTTAGTACATCGCGGCTTGCGGTAGTTACCACTAGATGGCGTTTTGTCAATGACTATATTGATATTTATGAAATAAGCAGTTTATTATCAATGTTTATGTATGCATTCTACCAGATAATTATTGAATATCTACAATAATTATCTAAAATCTCCAAATAGTAATTTTGTAGATAACATTAACACTAATAAAACTTAGCCTATTTCACAAAATATTTTTGTAATATTAATATGAAAGACGAAAAGTAATTTTAATTATTTTTTTTTCTTTTATGAATTTTATAATATTTGAAAGCTTGAGCTTTAACATTATCATTTTCACAATCGGTACTTAATAATTTTCCCTTTAGCAGCCTATTAACATTGGTGCACCAACTGTGAACAACCACATTTATTATTAAATTTAACAAATAATCATAAAGCCTCTTATTATGATTTTCGCAGGAGAGGAACGAAAAGTTGCAAAATATTTTAGTTTTCTGAATTTCCTATCCTTAATATTCTTTATTTGTGGTTCTTCAATCAATTGCGTTTGGATTATAAGGTAAACTTCATCTGTAAATGAACACACTGTAATGAACGCCTCTGATGGATATTTACATGACTTTTTTGTATAGTCCCTTTCTAAAATATAATCATATTGGGTCGGAGGTGTTGTACTTAACAATTGCATTTTACACACGTTACAATTTTTACATATATTTTTTATACACTTATGCACTAAATATCAAGCAACATAACGTTTAGCTTCCTTAGTAGTTAAATTGATGGGTTCTGAATTCTCGTTTTGTCCAAACAAATTTATTAAAGAATCCACATTTATATTTGCATCTGGTTTCTCTCCTGTTTCTATTTTTTGCGAATTAATTAAACATTTTAGTGGCTTTAATATTTTGTTATTGTCACGTTCACAGTTTGCACTAATTGAATGAGGGGAAGTTAAATTATTCACTAACAAAGTTTTATATGCTCCAGTAAATTGGCAGCATGTTGGTGATACATTTCGAATCCCATTGCTCCTGATACTGGAAAAGAAATTTTCCAGTGGATCCTGCCGACACTAATGAAATTGTTAGTTTGATGAATTATGTTTACATTATGAAACAGAATAAAAGTTTATCAAATGATATATATTTTATACAATACATATTTTTCAGTTAAGAACATATACACATATTATAATATACTCAATAGGGTGAAAATGTAAAGCCGACTTCAATTTACTAAAAGAGTAAAACAATTTTCACATATTAGCCTCCGATTTCTATACACTATATAAGCCATTATATGGAAATTATTTTTTTATTATTTTAGTTCCAACAGTATCAAAGACAGGTATATAATCAAAGATCAAAGTGATTCGTAGTCGTCGTTAGGCAACTATTATAGCCTCACGCTCGCCCTGACACGCACACAGAGATAACATTGTAGTGTGCGTCAATAATACGCCGTTTCAAAGAGATCGCGTAGATTTCGACTTGGACATATTTGAATATGCGCTCTTAACGCGGCTCCACATTATCGCCGTGAAGCTCCGTGAACAGGCGTGAACGTGAATGTGGATGGTTTTCGCGGGATTCACGGGGGATTCACGCGCCCCGATCAGAGTCGGTATTTTGTCCCGCGACAAAGGGTTCACACACCCTTCGCGCGGCGTTCACGCGTACACATCCACATTCACGGCCCCGTGCCAGTTCGTTTCGGACTACAACGGGCGTACGGACGATGTATTTTAGTCATACACCATCTTCTTTTTTTTCTCAACGCTTTCTAATAAATTTCTCGTTTTGGACGTCCAAATACTAATATGTTCCCACTGCAAATAAAGTTATTGCAGCAGCAACTTCTACGTCCGTTTCGCGGTGGGTTTTACGAACGATTGTGAGCATCCCGTGAATATGGAGGGCACGAATTGCGCCGTGAATTCATGGCGTGAAATCGCGCGTGAATTCACAGCGATGATGTGGAGCCACCATTAACTGATATGTCGAGCTCTACGTCACCAGACGATACGTTATCGGCGGCGATTAAAGTGTGCTGTAGGTTATGGAAAATTTTTGAGTGCCTGCGCTGCCTAGTAATTTTTTGTATTCCTATTAGTTCTTAAGGATGGTCTTAACTCCGATAGATGGAGAAATAATCATATCGTATAATTATGTCAGATCAAAGATACTAACTTATAGTGACGTCATCGTAATAGCAACAAAAAAATACTGTTGCCAACTCGCGTGGCATCTATAGAAAATATCCTCTCTTTGAGGCAGTCTATGGGGGTGGCTTACGTTATGGTTATGAGAAGTAGCGTCATGCGTCTGGTGTTGTGATTGTCAGTCTGCCTGCCAACTGCCTTAAACGTGGTAGAGCCATGCTGCAGTTATATTAGTAACATAGTTGTAGTACGAAAGGGCCAGCTCGACCGGGGAAGAACCACGCTCTCACAGAATACCAGCGTCAAATAGTAGCTTAATGCTGCTGTGTTTCGTATGGTGAGTGTAGAGAACCGGATACCCTTTTTAATGGAAACGAGACATTCCATCTTAGTCCTCACGGGTGACAACGCATCTGCATTTTGATTCGTAATCGAGGATAGATGTAGATGTCCATGGGCCACAGCAATCACTTACCATCAGGTGGACTGTGTGCCCGTTTGTGACCCTATTCTATAATAGAAAAGAAAATCTTTATAAGCTTCTATCACTCATACAGTGCAACATGTACTGGGGAAATTATTAACTACAGTGTGCTATTATGAGCTATAATGAATTCATATGCTATGAACTGATACGTGGTCTTTCACTGTTGTCTGGACAGCATTGTCTTTCCTATGACTAAAGATGACAAACGAGCATACAGTCTATCGGATAGTAAGTGAATGCTGTGGCCCAAAAGTCTACATTTAATCTCCATTGAGAATTAAAATCATCTCGTGGCGGTGTTAGAATATCGACTAGGTACGCCATAATATATCATAGGCGTCGTAACAGAGAAGTTGAACCAATAAGCAGCATCTTATTGATAACAGCCAAAAAAGTGAAGGAAAATGTGAGGATATTAATGGCGGATGCCTATGTGTGTGTAATAGTAATGTCCTGCATGCCGAATTTCGGTCACGACGGCCAGTCTCAACGGAGACTGGCCGGCTGCACAGCACAGGATTATAGTGCTCAAGTGTATGCGCAAGCATACGTGTACTCAATCCCCTCACTCTCATAGTTCGAAGGGGTGGTAATTCGACACGACCGGCGAGAGATATCAGGCGCGGGACCAACGGCTTTACGTGCTTTCCGAGGCACGGCAGTGAAACAACGTCAAATTCCTAAGCCGGGCTGCTATTGAGAATTTCTTGACGTAAAAACCGAATAACTGATTCTGACCCGACCCGGGATTCGAACCAGTCACCTCATGATTAGCAATCTCGTTTTATGACCATTAGATCAACGAGGCAGTGTGTTTATGTAATGAGGAATCGAAATGCACATACGTTCTCACCTTTCAGGAATTTATGTGCAAAGCATTATTCCGTGAAGTAAAGACATTGTATTGTATTGTATTGTATGTTACCTGTAAAAATGGTCTCTGGTTCACATCACAACAAACTGTTGCTATTTTAATCTGGTATAATGAAAGCGTGGTCCTTACCTAATCGAGCCGACCCATACTTGCTCAGCCATAAAACAGTTGTCGCTTCGCTCTACTACTGCCACGTTAGGTAAATAGTCTCAGATATGCTGCAAGAATGATAAGACCTAGTAGTCCTACCACCTCTAAAGGGTGTAAAGAGATATTATAATTACAGTCTGAGAGGCATTTCATCTTACTCTTGTATAAGTTGGCTAGAGAGCTAGGTAGACTGCAGTAGCTGCTTACCATCAAGTCGATTCAAAGTTCTTTTGTCAAAGATAAAAAGTAATGAAGCAGTGCCCAACTTACAACTTCAATTTGTTTATTAGGTGATGAGCCCAAAGGCCTGTACGTTCTTGTATCAGGCCTGCTAGAAGCAACTTACGAGCCCCCGGAAGGTGATTTCGACGAAGCAATCCCCAATTACGAGTTTCTCAGTGATTTGAAATTCAACGACCCAAGTCAGGATTACATTGTTTCGGGGAACGCTGTTGGCGTTCTAGGGGTTAGTATTATTTATTTTATGTAATAGGGGTGACAAACAAGCACGCAGTCCACCTGATGTTAAGTGGATGCTGTCATCTACATCTGTCTTCGATTAAAAATCAAAATGCAGATACGTTTTCACCCATGTGGACTAAGACGGAATGCCTCGTTTCCGGTAAAATGTTTAATACTGCTGTTTGACACTTGTATTGTGCGTACTGGTACAGTCAGAACGTGGTCCTACCCCGGTCGGGCCGACCCATTCGTGCTACAACTATAATATAACTGCAGCGATGTTCTATCACTTGTAGTTTTATTTTAAACAGCTCATGCCTCTTATATTTTTTAAGGACAACCTTTTAAAATGTCTTTAAAAAGTATAACTAGACAGGTTTTAAATTAAACGTATGTTGAAGAATTCACACATTCAAGTATCACATTTCTCATTATGTAACATGCCTGTTCATCAGATTGCGCTAAAACTTTGTTCGCATATTGCTTGCACTTGCGCGAAGGTCATAATCATAGTACCTTACCTTGCCTTACTCATTATCATTAGTAGGTGCTTACCGCAACCGAAAGTTATATATCATTCAACTTCAGTGAATGTATTATCATTAAAATTAAAAAAAAAAATATAACTTCCAAATTCAAAAGGTTTTCCATAATTATTTCTTCTGACATTAATACCATTTTTAACATTTTAGTATGTGTCCACCAATATATATGTAGTACATAATATGTATTACGCACTAGATATGGCATTCCGAACACTCACTAAGGTCAACTGAACTTTATTGCAATCCGTACACCTATTATTGTGGCTTCGATATTCATGCAGTGCGGAGCGGCGCTAATAATAATTTTATAGTAAATTAGTATATAGTATACTTATTTACTATAAAATTATTATTAAAAGCAAAATAAACGAAAATTAAAAAACATGTACTGGATTAACAATACAATCGAAATAAACAATTATTATTTATTATGACAATTTTCGCGCGTTTACATCAACTGCGCATGTGCGTCTCTACTATTTCCTTTTTTATTCTTTATTAACTGGCTTTACGGCTCTGGTTTCTAGACCTTCTGAGCCTATCCTTTCTTTTGGAATCTTCATTTTATGTTCTTTTTCTTCACAATATGCTGATGCGTCACATTGCGAAGCCCTTGGGAGATTTTGACGACAGCTCAACCTAGCGGACAGTTGATGACGACAGCCACTCAAGTTCATAAGGCGCCCAAGCGATCAAAATAACTTGAGGTTTATATCGACATCAAACCACTTGTTTCGTCGTTTTCTCTAATAGTTTACACGCGCAGACACTTAATTCACAAAATCGAGTCACTTTTACGAATCATACATAATCCACTTCAAACCATTATTCAAGCGACAAAACAGGAGCGACAATCCGTTTACGGCCAAGTTCCCAAGTTCCCGCCAAAACTCCCTCTACTATTTCCCGCGCATGTGCGGATACAGAGTAGTGCACATTTTTTGTTTGGAATAGCTTCTCTAGTACGTAGTACATACAACTCAATGTCTGTATCTGTCTGCCTGTCCGGACTAATCTTCGGAATAATCGAATCATTTGTAGTGAAACTTGACAAACTGATCGAAAGTTTTTTTTTTTTTGATAAGGGTGACAAACGAGCACACAGTCCACCTGATGGTAAGAGGATGCTGTGGCCTATATACGTCTACATTTATCATGAAATAAGAATCAAAATGCAGACGCGTTGTCTTTCCTGAGGACTAAGATGGAATGCCTCGTTTCCAGTAAAAAAGGGTATCCGGTACTCTACACTCACCATACGAAATACAGCAGCATTGAGCCGCTATTTTACTCTGGTATTCTGTGAGAGCGTGGTCCTAGCCTGTTCGAGTACCCCATTCGTGCTGCAACCACAATATAACTACTGCGTGGCTCTACCACATATTAAATAATCTTCACTCGAAAAACTTGAACCGTTTTTGCGAGACCGAATAATTGATGAAATAAATAGTCTTTAATGATAATCTTAAATTTAAAGTAAGCCCATTAATAAATCCTATCCAGGTAATGCCTGACCGAATCACTAGTCTTCAATAAAGTATAAAGCTATAATTTCACTTCAGGTACTCACAAACCGTCCATACAGCTACACGGTGCGGTGTGACACGGCGGTGCAAGCGTACTTCATCACGATGTCCGTTATAAAGGAAGCTTTTAACCTGGCGCCGCATCCCATTATGGGGTAATAAATTATTAATTATTTGCCTTTGTTTATTTAAAAAAAAAAGAATATTAACAATGCTATAAACATTACTAATATTCCCCTTAACCACTCGTGGTAAGCTTAAATTGCTTGTGTTACGAGTGGTTCACGCCAGTAGTCGAATGGCGGATTTGAACCCACGACCTTTTTGAGTTCGCGGTCCGCGCCTTGCCATTAGGCTACTGTCGCTTATAAATGTTTAACTATCAAATTTTTTAAAATACAATATGTAACGTAATTAACGCACACCCTCAGACACCCCAATTAGTATATTAGGTTATAATCATAATACATACACAGAATTTTAGTTAAACATTTTTATGCACTGATTATTTATCAAATTAGTTATACTAATTCCGGCAGAATGTTGTGGTCACAGTACAAATCTACGAACGCAAAGATTTTAACTTGCTTGAAATAAAGTTCATTTTTCTTTATTTTTATTGAATAACAGAATTAGTAATAATACAAATAAAACTGCACTCTTTAAAAGTCTTATTGCCTTAAGTTACGGTCCATTTCAGTTTGTTATGACTGTACAGATTAAGTGTGACTGTAATTTACGTAGTTTTAATTATTTTTGGGATAAAAAATTACCTATATAAAAATGATAGGAATCGATTCAGTAAACGATTCTGAACAAACTACTTTCTCAAAGTGCGTTAATTATGTTACATGTTGTATACGTCTATCTCTAATACGTGGTAGAGATGGCTCTTTTACGTATTAGAGTTAGACAACTACTACTATAATATAGCTGCAGAATGGTATGCAGCTATATTATAGTTGTAGTACGAATGGTTCGTTTCGACCGGGTAAGTACAAAGTTATAAGCCGTATGGTGAGTTTAGAGAACCGGAGACTTTTTACTAGATACGAGGCGTTTCATCTTAGCCCTCATAGGGGTGATAACGTATCAACATTTTGATTCTTAATCGAGGATAGATGTAGATGTCTATAGGCCTTAGTGTCTACTTACTGTCAAGTGGACTCTGTGCTCGTTTGCCACCCTTATTATATGAAAAAATCCTCTACTTCTGTCCGTATGTACAGGGATTTGTCGTAATAGACACGCTTAGCAGGCGGGTTAGAAATTACAAAACCAAGCTTCTAACACCTTTGTCCCTACTTCCCGTTGTCAGTCTGGATATTTTATATCTGGTGTAAATCATGACCACCTATTTGACTGCTTCCTTGGTCTAGTGGTCGTCAACGGTATTGCTGATCATAAGGGCCCTGGTTCGATTCGTTCGAAGAGATTCCCAGTAGCAGGTCGGAGTCAGCATGTTGGCGGTGTTTCATCCCCGTGACTCAGAAAGCACGTAAAGCGGTTGGTCTTGCGCCTGATCTCTCTCCGGTCGTATCGGATTGCTGTCCGCTCGGACTATGAGAGTGGACACTCGGGCACTAAAATCCTATCCAGTGTAGATGGCCAGTCTTCGTTTAGACTGGCCACGGTGACCGAAATTCAGTCTGTAGGACATTATTAACCATCTTGTAATGGCGTCGTCTAATAGCGGTGCAAGTGGTGAGCACCAGTGATAGTATTTGCGCATGTACTTGTACAATTTCCAGCCGATATACTGCAGGCGAATGACACGCGAATATACAATGAATGACTAACGTTAACTAACGGACCAATCACGTGAAAAACTCAAGTGGCTCCCGATCTGTCTTCGCAGGAATACTCACATTATTTCTCTTATATACTGTGTTCTATTCAATCCCACTTCCCCTGCTTATCGTAAATAGCTATTTGAGTTTGTTGATGACACTCACTGTCGGTCTTTTCGTTCTGATGAAAAAAACACCTTGAAAATTCTGTCCCATAATACTTCCTTCTTTCTAAATCTTCCTTAATTCTAATTAAAATAATAATGGAATTTCTTACCACTGCATACTAGAAGTGCGCAATCTACTAAAAGTTACAAAAAAACTTGTCAAGGTGCACTTCGTTCCTCCTTAAATAGTCATTCGGATCATTCGGTTTAACTCTCCTTGACATCGTTCAATTAAAAATGATTACTTATTTCGCCTTATGTTAAGCTTTTATTTTACTTACTCCGGTCTGCTCTTGTATATGTATTTCTATATTTTTGTAATTAAAATTTATTTAATGATTTCTTATGTTTACGCGAACACTACGCATTGAATATAACTACTTTTACGGATTTTAACGCGTTTAATTTTATTTATTTTTAACAAGTGTGCCTGAAAAGTTTCGAAATCATCTTCTGTCCAACGTCAACATGGGTGTTGCTAAAATTCGTAAAAGTAGTTTATGACATTTATTTATTTATTATTTTGTGTATGTATTTATAAAGTAATATTTATATCTTACGTATTTTTTACTTCCACCCTTACCCATTATTTTACTTACGTACATCCTTACCCCTTCTCGCAGGTCTTTTTATTCTTTGCAATAGTTACCTGATAGAGATCTTTTCAAAGCGATAAAGACACCAATCGTAGCCTTTAAATTATTTATTGTCTTTTTTCTCTTATGTTTTTATGGTGTATATTAAAGTACATGTCATTCATTAATTCATTCATTCATTCACGTGAAATAATCCCAGATACCCTAACTTGCGCCCGCTAGCTTCACTAAAGATACATTTAAATCGACTATTGCGCATATCAGAAATCATGAGATCTCGCTATTTCCCATAGCTTTTTATAAATACGAGACGAAATGGGGCGATAAATTCTCTTTGGTTGCACATTTATATTGTACATAGCATATTTTTTTTATTGCATGTTACAGCTATACAGGGTTATTTTTCAAAGAGTACCTAGCCAAATTTAAGTTCAAATATATAAGTATAAACCGTTATTGCACTTTTATTTGAAATTATCGAAAATTGTACGTGATTTATGGGCAACAACGTTTTTGCCTACGAATCGAGTCTTACGAATGTGTGCGTGCGCAGGAAAATTGGTTAAAATAATGCATTACTACGCATTTTGCATTTAAAAGATAAAAATGACAGAATGTTTGAGATTTTTTTAAATTAATTTTTCTTCACCATTTGCCTATATTACTTATTTTGCACCTTCTGCAAATTTCGTCGGTTATTGCAAAATAACTTTGTATAATGGTTGTGACTCAACCAAGGAAAGACCACGCTAATAACGACTAAAATATATACTGCTCGTATAGAATAGAATACCTGCGTGAAGTAGCCTCACAATGCTGCTGTGATTCGTATGGTAATGATAATTGAAAAAAAATTATAAGCGTTATTATACTACTAAAGAGTATATATATAATAAACCCTGGGAATAAAATGATCGCTACCATGGTGTCATGCTGGTTCTTCCCAGAACAGAGGTGCTTTTCCGAACCAGCGTTAAAACTTACCTTCGGTTCATATCCTTGTAATCTATATTGAATAAAAATGAAAAAGACAATATTTGGAATCCGTCGCTATTATTGCGGCTAGAAGAATATTATTATTACATTTATCCAAACATTTGTCTATACATTCATACATACATAAAATTGAAGTGTTTGTCTCGAATATAAACAAAATATATCCGGTTTGTTTTTATGTCATTATTTGCATGCTATATATGCTATGCATATGCATTGATATGATATGAATAATCATTCCTACAATTTTGTCTTTCTTTCTGCAAAATCATTGAACCAATTACGATGAAACTTCAAGAACAGTTAGACGCCAATGCCAGAGTGAACTAAGCTATATTTTGTCGGAGGAAAAGTTGTGGATATTTTTTTTTCAAAATCCAAAAACGGATAAAATAAATGGACTTTAATGATTATCATGAATTTAAATGAAGTTGCATTAATAGATCCTACCTAGGCGAAGGCGGGGCGCGTTATCTAATATATAAAAATTTACGAGTTATTCCATTTATCTACCCCAAAGGATCCCACCCTAGGGTGGATACTCGGAAACGCGTCTATCCTTCCCAAACGGACTGGATCATTGGACACTTTTATTTGTTCTTTCAAATGTTCACCGCAAGTACAGTTCAACACATTTAACACACTTTAATTATTAATTAATTTTTAATAACTACAAACCTTATAAAAAAAACTTATTACCGATACAGCCTATTAAAGTCCACGCATTACGTATTGCATTTGAATCAAATTAAACTTTCTCGTTGTAAATAGGTAATATTATTGCGTAATTTATAAATTTTGCAATACGTCCAGGCAATTACCATCTCTAATTTCTATATTGAGTGAACGTAATTTGATATTCTGGATAAATTCGCAACTTTTAATGTACATTTGCAATCGATTTTTAAATTTCTTTGCTGACAGATGTGTTAGCGAAGAGTTTGGCGTTTTTTGCAAGCATTTCAAAAACGTTACGATTGGAAGTTTGTCTTTAACTTTATTTTAAACTATTTTATTACAAGAATTGCAATGAATCTGTAATCCTGTGAGGTACTCTTTTATTTCAACGTTGACCTTTCAAGACACGAAGTACGTATATATTTTTATAGGTAATATCTACTAAGTATCTTGAGCCAGTTTTTATCATGTTTCTATAAATGACTGTACACATTCATTTATAGAAACATTTTATGTAAATTCCGATTATTCACCCCGTTTGCGGTGGATAGACGGACACGCGTTTCCGAGTACACGCTAGGGTGGATTCTTCAGGGTGGATAACCGGAATAACCCAAATTATTGTTTGTTTGCTGCCATACCGTTCAAAAGATTGCGCTAAAACTTTGTCAACTTATTGCATGCACTTGTGGGAAGGTTATAGGGATAATACAATTAAGTGGCACTCTATCATTCAATTTCAACGAATGTATTAACATTCTTAACTGAACAATATAACCAGGGACCAGATAGGTAATGATAATTTTTTATTGACATCTCTACAGTTAAGTTTTCATATCTCTAATATATAAAAAAATTATAGGTTTGTTCGGTAAGACGTTGTCAACGTATTGCTTGCACATACGCGAAGGTTATAGGCATAGTTGGAGCCGGTAGGTGGCGCTGCTGTAGAATCCAGATATCACCGTTCGAAGCCCGGGCAGATCGCTCGTGTATTATAATGTTAAGCAATACATCATGTGGGCCAGATTAATAGCAGATGGGTAGATAACGCGCCTCATAGCTTGGTTTTTTTGGCCTGTACTTAGGAGTTACGTATTTGATTGTTCAGTTTGGAGGCAGCGATGTGGCGCGAGATAGGCATCAAGCTTTCATTAATGGTGCTGCCCAGCGTACCCGCGTACCACGGCTGGTCGGTGGAGCGGCTCAGCATGAGGCTGGAGCACGCTTTCGTGCCCTGTCTAAAGGCATTCAAGGTATTGTACCTGTAACCTATACATACAAATAAAAATGAAGTGTCCCTCTGTAGCATCGAAATAACTGAATAACCTTGAGCTCAGCGGGTTATTTGCGTGAGACGAATTTATACATTTTTTGTCTCTTTCTCTATTTTTTTTCTGTTCGGGCTAATCTTCGAAATGGATGAACCAATTGTGATGAAACTTCACGGACAAATAGAGAGTAATGACAGGACTGATCTAGACTATACTTAATCTAAACTTGGGAGTTTTTTGTGAAATTGAAAAAATTATAAAATCTTTAATGAGTGAGCCTTTCATGGCGATGATACCCTAAAACTAAATGACGTCATATTAATGGATCACTATTAATAATATAATAATCAATAATATGGATCAATAATGGATCAATAATAATAATAATAAAAAGGCGTAGGGAAGTGACGACCCCATCGCCCGCTGACGTAACGGTTATGTGACAAAACCGCTACGTCAGCGCAGTCAGTCAGCACCTTGCCAAGAGGTGTTAGTGCCGTGCCTCGGCAAAAATTGAAGGTGCAAAGGCCCGCTTGTGCACATGGCCTCAACATGAAACGGCGCCGGGTCTGGGCGTCTCCCGCTAAATGACGCCCTAAAATGGATGATGGAATTAAATAGAACGCGCAAAGGGCCGCTGCCTGGAGGTCGCCAGGGCGCGTCTGGAGCTGGCGCTGGACGCGGCAGCATGCGAACCGCCAGCCGAGCGCGAGGTGCTGCACGACCACCCAGCAGCCCCTCGCATCCATCATCCCCACCAGCTGGCTTGGTGTCGGCAGGGTCTTCGCGGGCCCAGCAATCGGCACCCGCCTCTGGTGGAGTACGCCGCATGCGTTGGACAACCCAGATGAACAGCAACGCATTGCGGGCGTATTTTAGGGCGAAAGGGGGAGAAACTGGATGTTTGGCGTATCGGGCTAGGATGCATCGTCTTTTTGCTGAGCTGGAGCCATCTTTAACCGTCACAGAGCAAAACCTGGCAGACCGAGTTCGGTATATCTTGCGCTCAAATATATTTGATGTCGCCGAACTCGAACGGCTACGACGTGAGGCTGTTCCCTCGTCGGATGAGAATGCTATGGCTGAGAATGCGGCGCCACAAATGGTAGAGCAACCCGCAAACGTGGATGCCGCCGTGAATACCCCAGTTGTGGTTGATTCAAACGATGATGGAACAGTCGCCCAGGAACTGGAATTAGAGCATATGAGGAGTACATTGGAAGAGGCGATTGTGGAAACGCGCAGTACGCCTCTCGAAAATCGACCGCGACTTCCCCGCATAGCCCTAAGCAAGCGGAATCGGGCTGTCGTGAGGGCTCTGAACCCAATGCTGGTGACCTATTTGGAAGCCAGCCGGGACCTTTGCGAGACGGACTCAATTCTTTTTGGCGCCGCGCTGGCAGTCTGCCGTATCATAGGCGCCAAGGTTTCCACGGCTGGACGCGCTACTGGCCATAGTAGCGCTATCCCAGCATGGAGAAGAAGAATTGAGGAACGTATCGCAAAGGCCAGAGCTCTCATCGGCAGACTGATGTGCTTCAGATCAGGCAACAACAGGCCAAGAATTGTGCGCACCGTCAGGATGGCGTTTGCTGGGACAAATGTCAGTTTGTCCCAGCCGGATATAACGCAAAAACTGACGGAGCGTATAGATGATCTGAAGCAGAGAATCGCTGCTTGGGGAAAGCGGATTCGGCGATATACCGAGAGGTCGACACGGTTCAACCAGAATCGTCTCTTCCAGAGTGATCAGAAGAGGCTCTATGAATCATTGGAGCGACCAATGGTAAGTGGAACGGGTCCAGCACCGAATCAGGCCGACACTGTAGCATTCTGGCGCGGCCTGTGGTCAGAGCCCGTAAACCACAGCGAGGGCCCTTGGACGGAAGTTGTGGCGAGTCAGTGTGCGGGTATTACGCCCATGGACCCCGTCATCATAACGCCGGATGACGTCGCTGAGACGGTCCGTAGGGCCCCGAACTGGAAAAGTCCGGGGCTTGACGGGCTGCATCACTACTGGCTGAAGGAGGTTCATGGTGTGTCACTCTGTGCTTGCCGACAGTTTCAAGAGGCTCTCAAACAGAAGTCGCTCCCAAGCCTCTTCACTACTGGGATCACTCATTTGGTTCCTAAAGACCAGGGTACCACAGACCCGAGCAAATACCGCCCCATCACGTGTCTACCGACCATATACAAGACACTAACATCCATTTTGAGCGCGAGAATCACTTGTCACCTGGACTCAAATCAGGTGATGTCGCGCGCTCAAAATGGATGTCGGGGCGGTGGTCGTGGAACCAAGGAACCACTCCTCATTGACGCGGTCATTGGCAAAGTGGTGAAACGCAACCGTCGGAACTTCTCCGCCGCCTGGATAGACTACAGAAAGGCATTCGACTCGGTGCCCCATACATGGCTAAAGAGAGTCCTCAAGCTGTACAAGATAGACTGTACAGTTAGAGACTTCCTCGAGCAGTGTTTGGGGCAGTGGAGTACGATCCTTTGTCATCTGGGCGAGCGGATGATGGCTGCGGAGAACCACATAAGGATGAGAAGGGGTATCTTCCAGGGCGATTGTCTGAGTCCAATCTGGTTCTGCCTCTCTCTGAACCCTCTCAGTACCTTACTGGAGGGCTCCGGGAGGGGATTTCAGCTACGGAAAGGAGGGACAAAAGTGACCCACCTTTTCTATATGGATGACCTCAAGTTATTCGCCTCCAGTCGCTCCCATCTTATGGAATTGCTAAACATCACTTGTGAATTTAGCAATTCCATTGGAATGGAGCTTGGGACGGATAAGTGTGCGGTCCTCCATGTTGAAAGGGGAAGGTTTGCTAACTCTGAGGGCGTAGACTTATCTATGCCCGTTAACTTAAGGACCCTTTCCGAGGCTGAAACATACCGATACCTGGGTATGTCACAAAACATCGGTATCGATGAGACTGGTATGAAACAGTCAGTTTGCGACGTGTTTTATGCATGCTTGACCAAAGTGCTTAACAGCCTTTTGTCCGGTGTGAATAAGGCACACGCATATAACGGCTGGGTCATGCCTGTCCTCATGTATACCTTTGGCATACTCAGGTGGACTCAGACTGAACTTAACGCCCTGGATAGAAAAGTCCGCACTACCATGACGTCCCATAGGATGCATCATCCGAGATCGTCGGTAATGAGGCTGTACTTGTCGCGGAAGCATGGTGGTCGTGGCTTCTTGAGCGCGCTCACCATGCATAATCGCGAAGTGTGCAGCCTCCGTGATTACTTCCTGGCGAGATCGGATGATCCATTCTATAAGGACGTCATTTCTTGTGATAAAGGACTTACCCCTCTATCCTTAGCCAACGAGCAATGGCAAGACCCGGCAGTGCAGAGCATTTCCGACCGGGAGACCGTATGGAAGGAGAAGGAGCTCCACGGGAGGTTCTACAAGGCTCTACATGAGCCTTTCGTAGACACAGTAGCCTCCCTTCACTGGCTACGCTTTGGTGATCTCTTCGGGGAAACCGAGGGTTTTGTCTGTGCAATACAGGATCAGGTTATTAAGACCAACAACTATCGGAGGATACATACTAAAGGATGGCACCGTCGACATCTGTCGAGCTTGTCGCCATCCCGGTGAGTCACTTAGGCATGTTATCTCCGGTTGTTCGGCGCTTTCTAACTCTGAGTACTTGCACAGGCACAACCTTAGCCGGAATTCTACACCAGGAGCTCGCTCTGAAATACGGTCTCGTGGATCGGAAATTGCCATATTACAAGTACTTGCCGGAAGCCGTGCTCGAAAATGATCGCGCCAGGCTCTATTGGGACCGGGCCATCATCACAGACAGGACTATTCTTGCGAATAAGCCTGATATTGTGCTGATGGACCGGGCACAGTCAAGGATATTTTTGGTCGACATTACCATTCCGTATGACGAGAACCTCGTGAAAGCCGAAACAGACAAGCAAACAAAATATCTGGACCTGGGTCACGAGGTGAACGACATGTGGCGTGGTCTGCCGACCGAAATTATTCCTGTAGTCGTCTCTGCTAACGGGCTAATCCCAGTCAGCCTCTCGGGTCATCTGAGGCGGCTGGGACTACGTGGCGGACCGCTCCAGGTTCAAATGCAGAAGGCGGTGCTCCTCGATACCGCCCGCATCGTCCGCCGGTTTCTTTCCCTTTCCCCATAACCCTCGGCCGTTTGGTCTCCCCTGCCGAGGGCCTCCATCTGGTTGGGCTTTTATTTATTTATGTACTTTTATATTTATTTTATGTTATTGATGTTTATGTATATTTATCTTTTCATTTTCATTTATAATTATATATTTATAGAACCCAACCAGATGAGAAAACTATATAGATACCCCATAATAATAATAATAATAATAATAAGGTCCTCCAGACCGAATTTTGGCCTCGGCGGTTTGCCTCAACGGAGGCTAGTTCAACGGCGCAGGATAGGATTATAGTGCCCAAGGTATGCGCAAGGACAGGTGCATTCTCTATTCACTCTCTCTCATAATCCGATGGGACGGTAAACCGACACCGACGCCGTTGCCTGATCTCTCGTCGGAGAGAGATCAGGCGCAGGACTAACGGCTTTACGTGCTTTCCGAGGCACGGGGGGTGAGACACCGCCAACTTCCTGACTCCGGGCAACTATTGAGTTTTTCTTGACGGAAAACTCAATAATTAATTTTTTTGGCCCGACCCGGGATTTGAACCCAGGACCTTATGATCAGCAGTCGCACTACTACAACCACTAGACCAAAGAAGAGGATCAAACCTAGGCCGGGGTGGATGATTAGCTTATGATATTTAAAAAAAATCCTACACATAGTAAAAAAAAGCGAAACAATTATTTGTAACTTTTGAATGACTCGATCGATTGAGTCACACATTACCATGTTTTGACGAGACGATGCCATGGTTCATGATTTGAAAAGTAGCGCTGTTGTCAAGTTATTCACAAAATCTTATATTTATGAACCAAAATAACTTATATATATTACCATTTCCCTATGTTATATTATATGTTATATTTACGTGGTGGAGCCACGTTGCAGCTATATTATGGTTGTAGCACGAATGGGTCGGCTCGACCGGGGCAGGACCACGCTCTCACAGAATAACATCCTAAAATAACAGCTTAATGTTGTTATTTCGTATGGTGATTGTAGAGAACCGGAGACCCGTTTTACTGGAATCGAGGCATTCCTTCTTAGTCCTCAGGGGTGACACCGCATCTGCATTTTGATTCATAATCGAGATTAAATGTCGAATTAATGTCTATGGGCCACAGCAACCACTTACCATCAGGTGGACTGAGTGCTTGTTTGTCACCCTTATTTTGTAAAAAAATTGGCTTAGTGCCAAAAAATCATAAAATATGGATCCTATAGGTGGAACTGTGGTCGAGTTAATAATAAATTTTATATTATGAAGAAGAAAGGTTCTCGCGTGGCAGCAGCAGTGTGTAACGGTAAGCGAAGTGTACAGACTGCAGACCCCCCACTAGGTGAAGTGACGACCTGGTAAAAGATGCAGGTAGTATAGGACCGTTATTTATGGTATTCATTGATGGCATTGGCTTTGATCGGCAGTGGATTTGTGATGGGCTAATGATGATGAAGATGATTATATTTTCACTGGTAAAACTCCGAAATGAATTAGAAGTGAAACTTATCCTACCGATAAGAACAACGTTTGCAACACCAGCTGATTAATGATTTATATACTTGTTAATTTATTTCATAAGGTGTTCGTAGTGAACGAGTTGATGGAAGACATAGTTCTCATTGACGGGATTTGCCAGGACATGTCCACTCGAGAAGTTTTCCAACCGCCATGTTATATACCGAGGTTAGTTACGATCTTCTTCTCTTTCATCAGCTTCTTAGAGTCCAACAGCCCAGTATAGACTTAGAGGACTATACTATATATTAGAGGACTATACTAATAAGATTTGTATTAATTGCCATGCTCGGCAGGCAGACTGACAATCGCACAACCAGACTCTCAACTTTTACTCTGCTTCCTGTCGCCAGTCCAAGTATTTTACATGAGGCGTCGACGACATGGTTTATACGTGGTAGAAACAGCTACAGCTATATTGTGGTCGTAGCACGAATGGGTCGGCTTAACCGAAGGAAAGAACACGCTCTCACAGAATACCAGCGTAAAACAACAGCTTATGGTGAGTGTAGAGAACCGGAGACCTTTTTACTGGAAACAAGACATTCCATCTTAGTTCTCAGGGGTGACAACGCATCTGCATTTTGATTCTTAGTCGAAGGTAGAAGTAGCATGCTTACGGGCCACAGTATCCACTTTCTATCAGGTGTATTGTGTGTTCGTTTTTTACGTTACTCTATAAAAATGGGAATTTAGTCATCTCTTACGATACCCACGGGACGAAATGTGGTGACAGATTCTCTTAAGCTGCCTCCACCCCGTTTATTATGATTATACTTATAAAAAATAAAGACAATCTTATACACACGTCCCACTACTAAAGCACAAGTCTCCGTTGTAACGGATAAATTCTTTTAGACGATAGGAGTGAAATAGTGTGTGTGAGCGAGAATTCTCATCAGTCAGTGAAGTCATTCTATCTAAACGACTCCACAAGTCATTTAATTTCCCAGACCCCATATTCTTTATGATTTTCTCCAATAAAGACCTCCCCATAGTGAGGCATCACAGGGCGAATTCTGCCATAGTTGGCGCTTTTGGCAGGCGGATTGGCGACCGTAGTTTTTGACGTCACAACGTCTAATAAATCGATGAACGCCGGCTGCACGCACGAAAAACGATGCCCCACTGTAATGTTACGCTCATTGTAACGTTACTATCGGAGCGAGAGCGCTGCACGAGCGAGCCGAAGGCACGATCGGATTGAGGTGAAAACTACAATTTAATTATCAATTAAATTGTAGATTCTATTTCACTCCTTCTTTGTATCCATGCAAAATAGTGATAATTTAATAAAAACGATTCAGTTTTATTCATAAAAGTATGCAATCATTTCATCAATGTTTTGTTATG